ATGAGAATTTTCCTTGTATGTTAGGGGATGAGGATTTTTCTTGCATACCGATAGCTCGACGGCGGTCGGGGCGTTACAATTCGTATATAACCAGTGAACTATTTTAGTTAACTATATTTAATTATAAGTGTTATTTAGTTAAATCTTGGTAAGCATAGACGAAAAAATATACAATTGTAAAGATTATATAGTTACCTATATTATTACAATTGAATTAATTACTGTAAAAATTATATAGTTTACTATATTATTAATTGAATAGCTAACTACAACAACATAGAAAGTATAAATATAGTCGAACTATATAAAGTAAAAATTTTAGCTAACTACAAAAAAAAAGGAAGATAATCAACTATACAAACTTAACATATAACTTTTTATAGGGATTCTATTGATTTTTTTTGTTTCTACTACTTTCCTTATCCGATTATTTTTTTATATTTTATTATTGACATTTTTTACCTAATTAAATAATTCTATTACTTTCTTTATTCGATTATTCTTTATCTTTTATTATTGACATTTTTTACACAATTAAATAATGACAATTTCGTCCAAATGTTTTATCTTTCTGTTACTCACCTAAATTCTATTATACATATGTTACTCTCCTAATTATGTATCATAAAACTAATATTAAGCTACTTCACCCATTTATCTATGGTTGAATTGTATTTCATTGGATGATAAATAATGTTTTAATTTAATGTTTTTTTAATTTGTGTGTAAAATCATTAAAGATCAACTATTGTGATATAGAGGGAATATATGATTGCAAGGTAGATAGAGCTTTATTCACATTTATCATTATCTATAATTTGTTAAAAAAGCAAACAAATATTTAGTAGAAATGTATAACATAAGTTTATGTGAGACTGAAATTTGGTTTAGTGGGTGAGAGGTCTCTTTGATTATGAACCAAACGTACCTCTTGTGTAATGGTTTCTCTCTCTCTCTTGTTCTGTCTTTTCTTTCGAGTTGAGTTGGTCTGATACTCTGTTTCCAATTCGGTTTTGGACTTTTACCTTAGCCGTCAACTGTTTGTCTCTTCCAATGTCTTATATTCGGAGAAGATTACTTCAATACACCAACAATTAACATTGTAATACATTTCTGTCTACGATTCACCAAAACACCAACACTCTCTGTGTTCTTGGCAACACTCAAATTCAATCTCTGCAACCTAAAAATGTCTAATCTTCTTATCATGAAGATCAAATTTACAAAAAGGTATAAGGTCTAGATACTTCTCTGTATAGTAGTGACTTAAGCTTTTGCTGCAAACGGAATCCTTCATATGCCTTCTTTGCCACTACCGAGTAGCAACTTCTCTCTCACCAGCTTCAGCTATGATATAAAACTGTGTATTAATATCATCTGAGGTAAAG